AAAAATGTATTGTTTTTTTTTCTCAAATTTACAAAAATAATGCCCCGGTGCAGCAAGGTTCAGAGGCCGGCTTTAGGCAATGACTGGGTCACCAGGGCTCCCAGATCGTCAGTGGATTTATCCATAGCTGAATGCACCACTAGGAGGCAGGACCTCACTGGAGGAAGAGGGTCACTGGGGGACATGCGCTAGGAGGGTTTATCTTGTATTCCTAGTTGTTGTTGGTGGTGGTAGTGTTTTTGCCACACTGGGGATTGAAGCCAGGGCTTTACACATGTTAGGCAAGTGCTCTACCACTGAGCTACACTGCCAGTTCTTGAAAGGCATTCTTAAACAAGGCACAAAGGGGAAAATATCGACAAACTTGAGTTTATAACACAAACCTTTTGAATGTAATTTTGGGTAATGTTGGAAGAGCAAAAGCAGAATACAGAATCACCCTTACTTAGTATCTGCACAAGATAATCTAGCCAAAAATTCATCAGGGGGTTGGATGATCAGAGGCAGGTCGAAAGCACAATCTAGAACAACTAGAAAACTAAATCAAAATAATTTTTATTTCTATTTTTTAAAGGCATTAGAGAGCTAGAGAAACAATCCAGACTGAGGGACTGAGATTCCAGAGGCAAAACTTCTCAGAGACAGCTGAGGAGCTGCTGCTGTTCTTTACCTCCTTCTCTACCTGGGGCATCTGTTCATTGTGGGAAGGGAGCTGAGTAGCTGGGCGTGGCCAAGGTTGAGTGAGCTGGGGACAGGAAAAACAGAAGTGTCTGGTGATGGTGCAGGCGTGGAGACTGGAGGAGCCTCACACACACTGCCAGGTGCCCCTCCAGGTATCTGGAGAAGTTATTCAGAGCAAAAGGCTAGAAATTATATCAAGTGCCCCTGAAAAGCAAAGTAGAATTTCCTGCCAGCCTACCACACTTAAAAGGCAAAAACTGTCATGGTGAGGGACAGAGGACATGGAGAGGGAGTCAAGAGCCCTGGAGGGAACATGGATCTAGTCGTGAAATCTGTAGTTTGTTGGTCCTCTGAGGGTAGGGTACTTGTCAAATCTGGACACAGCCAGAGGCTGAGAATCTGGGCTTGGCTTGGCCAGGGGACTCCCACCAGAAAGCGGAAACCAACACTGTATTTGATGGTCTTGCGGGGCTGGACTGCCAAATCATAGCCTTCAAGGAATCAAACAACTTGGTTTCCTGTTGAGAACTTTTCTCAGTTCTAAAGCTGCATGAAGCAAGAGACTAAAAATATAACAAAATCTTTGAAGAGCAGAGAAGACTTAACTGCCCAGTCTCTCTACTGAAATTCCTGAAGATTCTTACCTACAGTCAGAGAAAACTAAAGGTATATTAACTTTTATTAAAAAATGCAAACTAATCTTGACTCATTTCATGCCCTGATTTGCTTAAAGTAATCAGACCATTACTTTAGCTGCCTAGCATAGAAAAGGGGGAATTATTCTTACATGGAGGATAACATCTAGAGACTCTATGTGTTTTACACATAATGTCTGACATTCAGTAAAACATTAATAGTCACATCAAAACATAAGACTATAAGACCAAAGAGAAAAATAATGGAATCATATACAGAGATGATATGGAGATTGGAGTTAACACATACCCAGTGATAAAAATGTTCAAGAAAATGGATAAAAAGATGGAGAAAATATATGGTCAGAAAATTCCAACAGAGAGTTGAACTCTACAAAAATAAATCAAATGGACATTGCAGACCAGAAAAGCACAATTTCTTAAACTAAACTTAATAGAAGGATTTAGCAGGAGACTGAATACAGAATAAAACCAAAATCAGTGAAGTAACAAATTGCAAGACAGATCAATACAAAATACCCAACTAAAATTTAAGAATGGAAAAATTTATAAAGGAGTACGAGACATGTGAGAAACAGTCTAAATGTCTAACATGACTTGCACTTTGAGTCCTAGTAAAAGAGAAGAGGAAATAGAAGGAAAGAAGAAACATTTAAAGAGATGACTGAGGATTTTTCAGAAGAAAGAAATCAAGTCATAAACTTAAGAAACTCTGAAAACTCCAAATGGGAAAAATAAAGAAAAAGAAATCTGGACACATCACAGTAAACCCGAAAGAGAAAAATCTTAGAGGCAGTCAGAGAAAAACTTCTTAAGTTGCCACCAATCCTCAAACCATAAGCTTTGAAAAACAAGCCAATTAATCAATTAATCAATGACCTTGATTCTGGTGAAGGGCAGAACTAAACCAACCTAAGCCCCCCTACCCATGCTCAAAAAACACTTTAAAAAGCTGTTATAAATGTAAATGTTATTAAGTCCCTGAACAGATGAAGACGTGGCAAGGATTTTACCAGGAAAAATTAAAGAGACAGAAGAAACCCAGGGGGTGCCCAAGTGCAGAAGCCACTTTTGAAGTGAAGACCTTGGTGGCTTCCAGAGAATCAGATCTTAGGTTTGGTAGCCTGAGGGTGAGGGGTTCAGAAATGAAGTCCAGTCATTACTATGTTATGTGGATGTATTAGTCAGGGTCTCCAGAGAAACAGAATCAGCAGGAAGTGTACTTATAAAAAGGGGACTTATTAGATTGACTTACACAACCAGAAGCTGGATAGTCCACAATGGCCGTCTGCAGGCTGGAGAGCTGGGAGAACCAGTAGCTGCGCAGTCCAAGAGGCTGAAGCCCCACAACAAGAGGGATCAATGGTGCTACCCTAGTCTGAGACCTAAGGCTTTGGAAACTCCCTGGAGAATCACTGGCAGAGTCCACTTTGGAAGAGTGAAGAAGCGAGAGAGTCCGATATCCTCAGACAATTGAAGCGGCAATCAAGAACCTGTTCAAGAACAATCGAGCTTACATCTGCTGCTGCTTCCTTGTCCTTCCAACTTTTATTCCATCCAAGCCATCATCCTATTGGACAGTGCTGCCTATGCTTAAGGAGGGTCTCCATTTCAGTTGGCTATCCCATATGCCAATCATTCCTAAACACATCCTCATTGACACACCCAGAAGCCTCTTAATCATTGGCATGTCTTAATACAATCAAGTTGACAATTCAAAATAACCACTAGAGTGCATATATGATTACATGACCTGTGTAACTCTATCTCGTGTACAATAAGATGAATGAGAAGTTAGACTCCACTTATGTGTGATATGTCAAAATGCATTCTATTGTCATGTATAACTAATTAGAACAAATAAAAATATATACCATATATATTAAAAGAAAAAAAAGAAACGAAGACCAGAGACCACTCAGGGAGGAGGGTCTAATGGCTGGCTCCATTCCACAGGCTCAAGTGAGGCTGAACGTCATGGAGGAAGAGTGTGGCAGAGGGAAGTAGCTCACTTGATGATCAAGAAGCAGAGATAGAGGGAGCCCCCACTTTCCAGATACAAATTTATACCCCAAAGTCACACCCCTGCTGCCCACCTCCTCCAGTCATACCCAACCTGCCTTTAGTTACTACTCAGTTAATCTCATCAGGGGACTAAGCCACTGATTTGATTAAGACCTTCATGATCCAATCATTTCTCCTCTTAACCTTCTTGCATTGTCTCAAACATGAACTTTTGGGGGACACCTTACATCCAAACCATAACAGGAGGAAATGGTAACTGTATGGCAGAGATGTCTGGCAAATACCACCTCAGTGTCAAGATTCTTTTTTTTTTTTTTTTAACTGAGTACTGAGGATCAAACCCAGGGCCTTGCATATGTTAGGAGAATATAAATTTGTTATTTGTTTATGGTTTGAATCTGAAATGTCCCCCAGAATCTCATGTTGAAAGCATGATCCCCAATGCAGCCAGGTTCAGAGTATTTTAAGCAATAACATGATCATGAGGGCTCTGACCTCATCAGTGAATTAATCCATTTAATCGATAACTGAACCGATTACTAGGAGGTAGGTCTTGGTTGGAGGAAGTAGATCACTAGGGATGTGCCTTTCAGGGCATATTCCCAGCCCCTTCACCTCGCTCTCTCTCTCGCTCTCTGCTTCCTGGCTTAGCAGCTTCCTCCACCACATCTTCTGCCAGGATGTTCTACCTCATCTCAGGCCCACCCAAAAGAATGGAACTGGTTGACCATGAACTTAATCCTCTGAAACCATGAGTCATATAAACCTTTTTTCCTCTAAGTTGTTCTTGTTAAGTATTTTGGTTACAATGACAAAAAGTTGACTAACACAATTTTTAAAGAATAATACTCACAGACCATATTCCCGAGATTGAGGACCCAACATTATAAACATATCAATTCTTTTCAAGTAAACCCATAGGTCAATGTAATCTCCACAAGATTTTGACAAGCTGAATCAGAAAGGCAAAGACCTGAAACACTTTGGAAGAAGAGAAGATTTACTCTACCAACCATTGGAAGTTATGGGGAAGCTGGCATCGCTGTGACCAGGTGGGGCTGGCACAAGAGGGGCCATGACAGGCCCAAGAAAGGGAGGAGAGGACACATAAACACACCTGCTAGTCAGCATTCACATCACTGTGACCAAAATACTTGGCAATAACAACATAGAGGAGGAAAAGTTTACTTGGGGATCACAGTTTCAGAGGTCTCAGTCTGTGGGTTGCTGACTCCATTGCTCTGGGCCCCAGGCAAGGCAGTACATCGGCAGAAGGGACAGAAAATCATGGTGGGAACAGGAAGCAGAGGGGTGGGGGGAAGGGACCACAGGAAGAACAATCCTTCCAGAGCCTGCCCCCAGTGACCCACCTCCTCTAACTATATTGCCACCCAGTCATCAACACTAGGATGGACTGTTGAGGTTAAAGTTCTCACAATCTAATTATTTTACCTCTCAATATCCCTGCAGTAATAGAGGCTTTTAGGAGACACTTCATATCCACACCATAACAGTCCACCCCAGCCCCCAAAAGCGCATATCCATATCACAATGCAAAAATGCATTTAGTCCACCTCTAAGAGTACCAGAGTCTTAGCAGTTCCAGTGTTTCCCAGAAGTCCAAGTCCAAGGTCTCACCTGAGACTCAAGGCAAATTCTCAGTTGTGAACCCGTGTGAAAGTCAAAAGCAAGTTGCATATATCCAATGTCCAGTGGCATGAAGTAAACATCACCATTCTAAAAGGGAGGAATAGAGGCATAGGAAGAAGAAATGAGGCCAAAGCAAGACCAAAACCCAGATGGAGAAACAGGTCCCCTAATTCCACCCATAATTCCTTGAACAGCACCTAGGACACTTGGCTTTGAGATGCTATTTCCAAAAGGCTTGGGCAAGCCAGGCCCAGTGGTATATGCCTGTAATCCCAGTGGCTTTGGAGGCTAAGGCAGGAGGATTATAAGTACAAAGTTAGCCTCAGCAACTTAGTGAGGCCCTAAGCAACTTGGAGAGACCTTGTCTCTAAATAAAATATAAAAAGGGCTGGGGATATGGCTCAGTGGTTAAGCGTCCTGAGTTGGAGCCCTAGTACCAAAAGGAAAAAAAAAAAGAAGGCTTGGGCAGCCCTGCCCTTTTGGCCTTGCCAGGTGCAGCCCACATGGCCTTTCTTTTAGCCTGGCTCTCTGACCCTGCTGCACTTTGTCCTCCCAGGCCTTCCTTTGAATTCTCAGTGGACACCTTCATGACCCCGTCACTGTAGCAGTCTGAATTCCTGTAGAACCAACACCAAGGTCTGCTGCCAGCTCACATTAAACCTGGACCCCCAGAATCACAACTGCAGTGACCTCTGAGTCCCTGTGCAGTGCAGCATGGTGAGACAACTTCCTAGGGCCCCCTGCGTGAGTAGAATGCCCATGATCACAAAGGAATGTCCCCTTCGGCCCCTTGACCCTGAAATTGTTGTGGTCTTACCAATTCCTGAAAATACCCTCAAGGCATGTTTTCCTTTGTCTCTGTAAAGTATTTAGAATTTCTTTGGGGGGTTTAATCTCTTGAATAAGCACACTTTCCTTAACCCAGCTTTACTTTGTTTTGGCCAAAATGTGAGGTTTTTTTAAATATCATTTAGCTCTGCTTTCTGCTTCCAATTCTTACAGTAAACCTGGCCAAAAACTGCCAGCAATATTCATGCCACTGACGGTGCTGCCTTGAAATTTCCTCTGCCAGATTAATTAGTCCAACACCTTTAAATGTGGCTTTCCCAAAGTTTCAGGACATGGGCAAAGTGTAGGCAAGTTCTTTGGCAGAATACCTCATGAGTGGCCTCTAGTCCAGTTCCCAGTGGAGTCCTCATTTTTCTCTGAAACCTCACAAACCCAGTCTGCATTCCTGTTGGCATTCTGGTCTTTTGAGCTCCAGCAGAACTGCCCATGAAGCTCCACCTATCACATTCTATAGCTTCCCCATCTGCAACTAGAAACTTTTTTAAATCCCTTCCACAAACCAGCAGCAATGTTTCTGAGTCACATGGTCAAGTTGCTCACAACAACGACCCTACTTCTCAGTACCAACTTCTGTTTTGGTTTGCTTTTGCATCGCTGGGATCCAAATACCTGGCAAGGGAGGTTTTCAAGATGGCGGAAGAGAGGAGGTTGCTGCTCCATGAAGTGAAACCAAGAAAGCCAACAGGCAACGTCTTAGCAAGGTGGGCGAACACAAAAAAGCAGGGGGACTTTACTGGAATTTAAAACTGAACATTCAAAGCAGATCAGCCCTCAGGAGTCTGGCTATAATAAAATAAGGAAGAAATCCCCACTGGCACAGCTGCTGCCACAGCCGGGCTGGAAGCTCCAGCCGGAGCAGTCCCTCTTTGAGAACAGTGGAGGGATAAGGGAATGAAGGGGGTTAGGTGGGTTCCAGGTGGCTAAGGGAACAAAGCACCAGGCAGCCCACCATAGGAAAGAACAACCAATCAGGCGCCGACAGACAGCAGTGATAACCACCTGTCAATCAGCGGGGTCTCCTGACCAATCCTGGAAGGACATGGATCTCAGCAAGATTCCCCATCCAACCCCAGGAGGACAAGGAACTCTAAAAACCTCCCTTTCCTGTCCCAAGCCCTCCCTTCCTGACCTAAGCCCAATAACATTCCAATATGGCTGAGCCTGTGCACGATTCCCCTGGACCCGTTCTGATGGACTGGAGGGTCTCCCCGGGGAACGAATCTCAATAAAGCCTTGTTCAGCTGCTTTTAACCTGCCTCCTTTTGATCACCAGTGCCTGACCTTACAAAAGGAACCTGCATTTTGGGGAGGCCCAGAGCATATCTGGGTATGGAGCATTTAGAGATCAAGGACATTGCTGGTAAACCTGAAAGATGCACTGCATGATATCTGTGTGTGGAGAAGCCACCATCTCTCCAGGCAACATGCAGGAGACTAAGGAAGGAACTATTTTGCAGCTGCTGTGTGTGGGGCCAGCAACTGAGGGGGCCGATTCCTGGCAAAACCAAGTTTGACCCAAAATACAGGCCCAGTAAACACACACTGCATGACACGGAGTGTGCTTACGTGCCCAGGAGAAAATCAAATGTGGAGACAGGTTTACACAGGGCACAACTGGTCGTGGAATCCCACCTGGCTCTCCCTTCCCCTCTAATCCAACTGCTTGCAAGACCAGCTGGGAAAGACCCATCTGGCTGGAAGGGCGGGTCAGGAGAAATTGTTTGGAGAATGAATCCGAGAACAGGAAATGTGGGGTCTACAGGTAACTTAGGGGGACTAAGAATTGGGTTCCCCACCACATGAGTAGATCTCAGGGGATCCCTGGGGACATCTTTCAGTGTGAACCAGCAATCACTGGGCCCTGGAGAGGCACTGATTTAAAATCTCCAGCCCAATTGGCATTCAGCCAAGAGCCTGGGGCCCACCTAAGCCTAAGCCCTACCTCCAGGAATTCTGCCTTATGGGATTACCTCTCCCACTCCAGCACCCAGAGGGCGGAGCATCACCCTCCAGAAGACCCCTCCTAACACTGCTGAGAAGAGAAGATGGGAATCATCTGGACTCCAAAGGAAAGAATTCTTTAACTCTCCATCAAGATTCTTTTCTTTTGTTTCTTTTCTTTTAGTTCTTTTTTCACTAAGAACTGTTTAATTGTGACCTTAATGGTACATGGACATTTATACAGTCTCCTATTTTTTCTTCTTCTCATCTGTAGCATTTTCAAAGACAGTTATTTTGCATGGATTAGTTTTTTGTGAACTAGGATGGTTTATTAGTAAATTTTAGTTTTGTTTTGTATTCTTTTATTTTTAATTTTTTTTAAAAATTTGCTTTATATGTATAGATTTAATCCTGTTTCCTTTGATTCTCTCTTTTCTTCTGCTAACAGCCAATCTCTATTGTTCTTTCACTCTTCCTTTAATCTTTCACTTCTTCTTCTCCCCTCCTTCCTCATGATCACCACAACCTGTATCACTTCTGTTCTCTCTCTGTCCACCATCTGAAAATGTAAACCCTTTTGCAAACTTGTTGTTTTTATTATAGGCAATAACTGATCGTATCATTTCTGTTTACTGAGATAATTAACATTGTAGACATCATCGTTGGAACTATTTGGTTTAATGCTTTATATTGTTTGCAGTGGTTGTTGTATTACTTGTCTCCCCCTAAACAGTGAGGTACTCAAAAACTTCAGGGATACTATAAAGTCCACAGAGTATAAACTCTACTGCCTCAGATCTGTGCTGTTAGATGGGTAGATACACAAACAACATGAAAAAGCTAGGGAACAAATATCCCCAAGCAAACCAAGTTTCTCCAATAACAGAATCCAACCACGCCACAGTGGAAGAAATAGCAGAGAAGGAGTTCAGAATGTACATGATTAAACTGATCTGAGAAGTAAAGGATGATGTAAGAAAGCAAACACAGGTAGCAGAAGATCACTTCAATAAAGAGAGAGTCTGAAAAAAAAAGAAATTCTTGAAATGAAGGAAACAATAAGCCAAGTTAAAAATTCAATAGAAAGCATTACCAGCAGACTAGACCACTTGGAAGACAGAACCTCAGGCAAACAGAGTTGGCCACGGAGAGAAGATATAAAGAAACCATGATCAGAACTTCCAAGATCTATGGGATAATATGAAAAGACCAAATAAGATTTATCAGAACACATGAAGGTACAGAGGTACAAACCAAAGGAGTGCACAATCTTTTCAATGAAATAATATCAGAAAATTCCCCAAATCTAAAGAATGAAATGGAAAATCAAACACAAGAGATTAACAGGACCCCAAATGTTTAAAATTACTACAGATGTACATCAAGCACACTATAATGAAAATGCCCAGCATACAGAATAAGGGTAGAATTTTAAAGGCTGTGAGAGAAAAACATCAGATTACATTCAGGGGGAAACCAATATGGATCTCAGCTGATTTCTCAACCCACACCCTCAAAGCCAAGAGATCCTGGAATAATATCTACCAAGCTCTGAAAGAAAATGGATGCCAACCAAGAATCCTACATCCAGCAAAATTAAGCTTCAAATTTGAAGATGAAATAAAAAACTTTCATGATAAAGAGAAATTAAAAGAATTTTCAACCAGAAAGCCTGCAATTCAGAATGTTCTCAATAAAATATTCCATGAAGATGAAAGGAAAAATAAAAAGTGAAAACCAATGATGGAAGGAACTACACTAAAGGAACAGTCAATCAAAGGAGAAACTAAGTCAAATTAAAAACTAGAAATAAAAGCCAGGTGTAGTGGCACATACCTGTAATCCCAGTGGCTCAGGAGGCTGAGGCAGGAGAATCATGAATGCAAAGTCAGCCTCAGTAAAATCAAGGTGCTAAGCAACTCAGAGTGACTCTGTCTCTAAATAAAATACAAAATAGAGCTGGGAATATGGCTCAGTAGTCGAGTGCCTCTAAGTTCAATCCCTGGTACCCCCCCATACACACCAAAAAAAATACAAATAAGACAAAATGACGGAGAACACAAATCGTATCTCAACAATTAATATCTCAACAACATATCTCAACAACTAACCTTAAACATTAATGGCCTAAACTCATCAATCAAAAGACAAAGGCTGGAAAATGGATTAAAAAAACAAGACCCAATAATATGTTGTCTCCAAGAGACTCACCTCATAGGCAAAGACATCCACAGACTAAAGGTGAAAGGATAGGAAAAAACATAGCACTCATATGGATTGTGTAAACAAGCAGGAGTTTCTATCCTCATATCAGATAAAATGGACTTCAAGCCAAAGTTAATTAGAAGGGACAAAGAAAGACATTTCATACTGCTTAAGGGAATTATACATCAACAAGACATAATAATCATAAATATTTATGCTCCAAACAATGGAGCATCTACGATACGTCAAACAAAGCCTTCTTAAATTCAAGAATCAAATAGACCACAACACAATAATACTGGGTGACTTTAACACATCTCTCTCCCTACTGAATGGATCTTCCAAACAAAAGCTAAACAAACAAACTATAGAAATAAAAAATACAATCAATGATTTAGACTTAACAGACATATATAGAATATTTCATCCATCAATGACTGCATACACTTTCTTCTCAGAAGCACACAAATCCTTCTTTGAATAGACCATGTTATGTAAGCTATCACATATGTTGGCATACAATTGTAATATTACCTTAATATATTTTTAGCATCTGTAGGGTTATTTTGACAGCTCTCTTTCCATTGATATTAATTTTTGTGTTCTTGCTTTTTTCTTCAACAGACTTGATTTTTATCAAATTTTAGCTATATTTTTTCTTCTCTATTTCATATATTTCTGCTCCTACTATTATTTTTCCCCTCCTACTACTTAATTTGAAAATAATTTTCTGTTCTAGCTTCTTTCTGACACAAGCGTTATAAATGTTCATCTGAGTACTGGTTCATCCCAGAGATCCTGGTATCTTAAGCTTTTATTATCACTTCAAAGCACTCTTTATTTACTTTACTTGTACTTTCTTCCTTGACCTCAGAGGTATTTATGAGTGCACTATTTGATTTTGAAATAGTTGATGTGGGGATGGGGTTCTATATAGCTTAAGGTGATTGATTTCTAATGTAATCATGCAGGAAACACAGTCTTCATGATTTCAGATTTTAAAAAAACAATGGAAATGTTTTTTTATATTGGTTATATTGGTTACATACATGTCAAAACTGATCAAATTGCATACTTCAAAAATATGCATTTTATTGTTCTTCAATTTTACCTCAATAAAACTATGGGGGAAAAAAAGATTGGACTTGTAGCTCAGTGGTAGAGCATTTGCCTAGCATGCGTGAGGCCCTGGGTTCAGTCCCCCGTACTGCAAAAAATAAGCACAATCCCATTATGACATCTAAGTAAAAACAATTAATTCCTTAAAATCTTCAAATATCTGGTTATCCAATCAAGGCCCATATCTTTCAAACGGTTGATGTGTTCTTTAATTTTTTAGGTGTGGAAGTGGGGAAGTACTGGGATGGAACTCACTGCATTACATCTCTAGCTTGCCTTAAAAATTAAAAAATTAAAAAACCTGACAAGAAGAACTTAGAAGAGGAAAGGTTTACATGGACAGAGTCGTAGTGCATGGTCAGCCGACTTCACCGCTCAGGTTCCAGGTGAGGCAGCGCATCATGGGGAAGGGCCTAGTGGAGGAAAGCTGCTCATGGTGGCGCAGGAAGTGGGGAGGGAAAAGGGACCACAGGAAGACCAGCCCATCCAGGACGCACCCCCAGGGACCCACCTCCCTCAGCCACACCCCGCTTGCCTATGGTTTTCACATCAGTCCATTTGAACCAGGGTGGATGGATTGGGTTAAAGGTCTCACAATCGAATCATTTCATCTCTGAATATTCCTGCATTAACAGACAGTTTTGGGGGGACACCTCATATCCAAACCATAACCACCCTCCTGCCTACGTGGCCACTTGGCGATCACTCCATGGTGTCCTCAGAAAAACAGGTGAGAATCAAAACAGAAACTTCAAACTGAAGCTCAGGTGGGAAACAATTCAGTCTCAGATAAGACAGGAAATGTGAAAAAAAATATTCAATCCAATTATATCTGAGCAAGCACGACATTTGGGTGAGCAACTTGGGGCAAATATCAGCGAGAGGCCTACCAAACCACAGCCAGCACCCGAAAAATGAACAAGCGCAGAATGCAAGATTCAGGCAGGATCAGTCTGGAACAATGACTCAGAAGACCAGGAGAACATCCCCCCAAGGGCTTGACACCCCACAAAAACCCAAGCAAAGCAGCGTCGTCGTGTAGAGGAGTGATGGATTTAAAGGACCCAGCTAAAAGTGCGGCTTGTAGTGCTATGGGAAAAAATTAAGATCCTCTCCAAACACACACACACACACACACACACACACACACACACAGTTTGTTTGGTTTTTTAAAATTAGAAATTACAAGAAATAAACCTACTAAAAATTGAGTAATTGTCATGGAGGAAAAGCTGAAGGTGACCACTAGAAACATGAAGTAAAAGAATCAGAGAGAGGAAAGTATCCAGCAGCCTTTGGGCTGAGAAGGCTGAAGTTACTCCAGTGGAATATAATTTTGCATAAAATTGAAAAGGAAAAAATTGTCAAAAATGTTCGAAAAGGAACTTTCTCTTTTTATTTTCTTTTGCCCCTAAAAGTAGACTCGAATATGCAGCCAAAAAAGAACACAAGAACCATCATGATACACTGAGAGTGCTCATGGAATCAATCCATCAGTAACTTCCCACACCACTTTATTTATATCTTATGAAATCAATGCCATCATAGGTTGCACCTTAAAATGTAAGTTTTAGTAAGACGAAAGCCACCACGCATAAAGTTAGGACAAGGAAGCTACATTTATACTTTTCCAGGATATCCAGCTAAATCTCCCATATCATGAAACAAAGGACAGACACCCAAATAATACTGGCAAAGAAAATGAACCTGCAAGAGGAGAGGGAATCTAACAGCCGACAAACGAGAGAAACTGAGCCACCTCCTACCTAATCAGGAAAATACAAATGAAAAAACGTGCACCTCCTCATCCGTCACTTTGACAAAGTCTGGCTGGGTGTGGGGAGGTGGCTCGTCTCATCTGCTGTTAGTAGGAGAATACATTCATATTCAGCCTCTTACAAAGGCAATTTAGCTGAGCCTATAAACGAGTACACATTGATTCCCTTTGCCTCAATGATTCCACATTTTTGGGTTTTGATACAATTATGTAGAATTCCAACATAAAGTATATAATCATTATCACAGCCTCTTAGAAAAGTGAACAATTGAAATAACCTAAATGTCCATCAGAAGGGGATGGTTTAAATATTATGGTACCTATATCAATCTCGTGGAATAGCATTAAGCTGCTTTAAAAAACAAAGTTCATGTACATGTTTTAAGGTGAAAAGATCTCTAAGATTTCCACTTTTAAAATAAGTGGCAATATAAAATGCTGAAAAAATGTACAGTATCATCTCATTTATTATAAAATGCATTTATGATAACAAGTTATATAGACAAATGCACAGGAAAGAGAAGACGTGACCAGACTTCTCACAGACCTGGGACTGGAAGCTGAAAGTGAGTGAGAAGGGAATTTTTTCCCATTGTATACTTCTATACTGTCTGAAATTTTATGAGCAAGGTTGTATAGTGTATTCCTTTTGTAGACATAAAAAAAAATTAAGTCTTGTTATTTTTGAGCCCACTACAGAGGAAAAGATAGAATTTCTATTGTTTTTCTTGTCAGAGGTAGGACCTACCCAGAAACAGAAAACTAAAGTGAAAATAAAACTCGGCCTGCACTAGCTTTTCTCCTCATGGGCCCTTTCTCTCTTTTTTTTCCTTTGATCAGGATAAACAGAGAAAGAGCTCAGACCCCGTCAGCACAGGGACAGCCCCGGATCTGACAAAGCTGGTCCCCTGCAGGTGCTGGACCATAGCACCCCAGGCTCGCTGGCTCGAAAAGATGCCAGATGTTTACCCTGGAGCTTGTGTTGCCCCACCTACCCTCTTTGAAGTGACCTGTGAAAGGTGGAGGGCGGTGGGGGAGGACTGGGAGCATTCAGAGGTCATGGGAAATGGCCAATCCCTGCTGGGAGGGACAGAGTCCCCGCCACTGAGAAGCAACTGCAAAACAAGAAACTCGTGAGTTCGTGTGCTTCCTGGTGAGCTGCACTCACATCGACAGCCGTCCTGCTCCTTTAAAAAAAATCCCTCTTCCTCTTTCTTAGCTCTTACTTCATCTAGTGCAGACCTTGCTCCCGTGGAGCAGGACTGAGCCACAGTACCGCCTTAGACCCCGGCTGAACTCAAGCAGCACACGGCCAGAGACAGAAGTCCAAGGGAGAAGAGAGACTCACCTGGTGCTCGGGTCGCCAGCCCCGTCTGCCATCCTCCTGCCCTGGACCTGCCTGGGTCTGGGAGGGTGACCCCTTGTCCCTCAGTCTCCCCCGCCTGTGTCCAGTGTGGCTGCCCGACCCTGAGCAGGAAGTGGGCCCTTGGATTGACTCACCAAACAGCGCTCCGCCCCGTTGGGGAAAAGAGAAGTGAAAGTATTTGTTCGACCTCTGATGGGCCACTGCCAAGCTAGTCCTCCCTCCTCCCTCGGCCCACAGGCTCCCAGCTCTCCTGAAGTGTAGCAGGAGGATGAAGGCCTGCAGGACAGGGAAGGGGGCCCCAGGGACAAGCAGGGCCACTCCCAGGTGTCCCCTCTGTCTGTCTCTAGATGATAGTCCTTATCAATTGTGTCCCCTTCATGACTAAGCACGCCTGTGCCTGTGCCTGTGCCTGTGCCCGTGGCTGTTCCTTACAACCAGCGACTTAGTGAGTCCCAGCGTGTGTCTACGGCAGATGCTTCTTCCAGGAGGGAAAGCTGGAAACTTCTCTCGGGCCCATGGGGGAGACTGGACTAAACGCAGGAAGGTCCTGACGTTCAGACCAGAGCCGGAGAGAGCTGACGCGCTCAGCCTTACAAAGGAGGCAGAATACTCTTCGCATTCCTAGACATCAGTCAGAGGCAGGGGAGGTCTCTCCAAGCCCCTGGGGGCCACATGCTGAGCCAGGTTAGGGCTAAGGCTGACATTTTAGATGCAAGGGTATAAGGTGCCTTGACCGTGAGCTGCTACACATCAGCAAGGGCTGAGGAAGAGACGCTGTGTATCAAAGAAGTCACTGGACCTCTCAGTGGAGGAGGATGGAGGAAGGAGCCCAGGTGGTCTAGAAGTGAAAGGGCAGGGGGACCCAATGGGGGGATCTCTGCCTCCCAGTTATGCCTGTTTGGCTGGGGCATGGTCAGGGATGCAGCCAGCAGCCAGGGTGTGCAGACTCCAGGGCCAGGAGGGGATGGGCAAAGGGCAGAGGACTCAGGGGCTGGAAGTGGCCAGAGCTCGAAAGTGATAGTTTCATACCACGGTCCACTGAACCCGACTCCTTCTGGTGGTGAGCAAGGGTGCCTGACACTGTGGGGGGAGGACGGAGGTTCCTACCGTTGATCCACTTATCTTTCTTTCCCCAGAAGAGTGAGCACCAAACTGATGGGGCGGATTCCAGGCACTGATGAGGACATCTTTTCCAGTGGGCAGGGCCACTGTGCCTACAGGTACATACTCGTGCCGACAGGTACAGACACCGCTACCCCACATGCGCTTTCTCTCTGGGGCAGAGGGGCTGGTAAGCTGAGCCTCATTGGGCGCAGCTGTCCTCTGTCCGGTCTCTATGGGCAGGGTGGGCCACAGGAGCCCTGGCACAGACTTCACCCACCTGTCCTGGCGAATCCCCCGGCCATCCCTGTGTAGTAGGCTGGCCAGAGCCAGTGCAGAGCTGGGCGCTGACGTGAACATGCCAGGCCTTCTCTGCGTCTGCTCGAGATCCAGGAGCCTGGAAGCCAGGGAGCAGGAGAGCAGCAATTGAGGAGGACCCCGGGCAGGGGAGTGACAGAGAGATGGCTTTGGGAGCTTCACCAAGAAGAGCTGGGACCTCCGAAACAGGGGATGGAGGCTGATTCCCCAGCCTGGACACCCCTTGGGGACAAGAGATCTATCTCTGAGACAAGGAGTCAGCATCCCAGCCTGGAGTTTGAGGGCAGGATGCAACCCCAGCAGCTGTGGCTACTGGACACAAGTTTGGAGAGTCTGGCCTCCCTCCTGTGGGTGGGCACATGGAGAGTGAGTGCGGGGGCCTCCCGAGTCTCCTGCTGGGAGGCAGCTCATGGATCAGCACGACACACCTGCCCCCTCCCTTCTTCTGGGGCAGATTCTTTGACTAGAGCTTGGTGGGTGGGAGTGTCCCCTTGTCGAGCCTCTCCATAGCCATCCACCTGCAGAGACTGGGGCTCTATTAACACCCCCAAGCTGGGTGCACAAGGACAGGGTCCAGCGTGGGGCTAGGGCCATGTGGTTGACTGGAGCAGCTTGAGACCGTGTAGATAAGTCCAATTCTGAGATTCGATTTGGGGAATCACTTTATTACCACACCCCTAAGAACGTCCCCAATTCCACTTTCATCAGGAATGAAGGAGGTTTGTTGACCTCCTTTTTGCCCATCTCTCAATTGGGTTAGAACTCAGGTGGGGGGAAAGTATGGCATGTGGGGGGCCTCCTGCCCCTAAATATGTTTAGCCCATGGTCTATGTCTCTCCCCCCAGTTCTCTCCTACCTGAGCCCCACATGGGTGAAGAGTCTGAGGATCAGAACCCCTTGCAACTATGTCACCATGATGCAATTATCCCCCTGGCTTAGTGGGTACTCGGCGGCTTTTAAAGACTGTGGTGAGACTGAGCCTCACTCCTTCCCCACCCTGCCCTTTGCTTGACAGAACTTCAGCGATGGGCTAAGGGGTGTAGAGCTTTGGTCACTCCAACCCGCAAAGCTTGCAAGATGCAAGAGGGATGATTAGAGGTGGAAAGGATTATTTCTATGGAAGAAGAGAATGTATGGGGAAGGGATGGATAGGAAGAGAGAGAGACCATTGCAGAAGAGGAACGGGTGGAGGGTGAGGGGTTCTGAGGAGTGAAGAAGGGAAGGGAAGCACTGGAGAATGTGGGAGGTCCATCTGGCCACCTTCTGAAGGTCTGGGGTCCAGCCACGAGAAACACCTCCACAGAAGCCCTCAGTCCTTGTGCGGCATAAGGGAGGAGGTTGGCCCAGCCACATCTCCAGTCCCCACCTGCGATCTGCATCATCACCCGCGGCCCTTCAGTTTATCCTCTGTTGTAGCCACAAGTGAACAAGGACCGCTGTATCCTGTTCCCTGATTACTGGTGGCAGAACCAGGATCCCCAGAGTCCAGTGACACTACTCTTGCTTCTTTCCTATGGTCCCCAGGCAGCAAGGGTGGGCACAGACTGACCATGTGCAGCAGAGTCCCTCTCCCATCAGCCCACAGCCCACCTTACTCCTGGACTTGGCTCCAGCCAAGTCTACACTTCCCTCTAGTGGCCTAACTCAGTATTACAGTCTCCTTACACCTAGGTTCTTTTGTCCTTTGTTGGAAACAGAAATTAAAAATCTTTCTCTTTTCAAAAACAACCCAAATGCCTTGATGTTTGTAGTAGAAGCTCTGTTATTTCATTCTAAATAAAGGTGAACCAACTAAGAGATTGAGTTCGGGAAGTTTTAATATTTGACAGTTCATGAGCATATCTGGGCTTGTGGTCTAGCAGAGACCTCCTGATTCAAATCCCGAGGGAGGTGCTGCCATCTGGGCCATCCATCCTTGAGGGAGACCTCTGTCTTCCCAGAAAGCTGAATCCCACCTGGGAGCACCAGGGTGGCCCTTCCTTCTCCACCTCCCTGGAGGCTGAAGCCCTCAAACCTGCCCACCTCCCTCCCCTGAGGCCCCCGCAGCCTAATCCTGAGGTCCTTTCCAAACATGTAGATCTTGTCATTTAAAATGTGTTTAAAACATTCAATAAGCTGCAAAAACAGATGGCGCAGAATGAGCTTTTAAAGGAAGGCCTGAGAGGTTCTAGGAGTGGGTTACGCTGAGAAGTTCAGGAAATGCCTTGCCCAGTCCTGCCTCAAGCACCCTGGTCTCCCTTGGGGTGGCCCTCACCTTCCTCTACCATTCAGTGTCCTCTGACTCCTGAAGGGACGGAAGCAAAACGTCTTAGCTTCACCCAACTCTTGCTAACTTAGGGTCCTACCTCTCGGACTGAAAAACAGCAACCTGCTTCAGAGTTCATAATTTTTTATATCCTGGGGATTCCCCGGGGCAGCTTGCTGTGGTCGTGGGCACCAGTGAACACTCACTGCCAACACTCGGAGATCTGGATCAGGATGGCTCCGTGCTGTAACACCCGACAAGAAGGAACTAGGGCTGCTCTCAGAGAGGGGGAGAAACACTTCATCCTAGTTAGGGTCCAACTGGTGCCTCTTGGGGAGCCTCAGGGGTCTATTGAGCTGGATGCCCCAGAAGCAGAGGAAACAGCATGGCTGCCGGAACTGGAGGAGGAGGCAGTTGGGTTGCACAACCACTTGAATAAAAGTGAAGCCTTTTACAAAACGGCCATTGCTAATGTTTCTGCGAATCCCTCCAAATGTCCATTACTAAGAGTGGTGAGCCAGAATGACCTCTGGACTTATCGGATCCTGGGGGAGCCAGGTGAGGCGTGCGTGGTCAGAGATGGCCTCCACCAAGCACACGGAAGGAGCCCACTGGTAGCTGCCTTCCACTTGTTCCAGCTCGTAAGTGGGTGCTTTTATTAAAGTGGGGGGCATGTGGTAGGGACCTCAGTGTTGCTGAACAGAATAAAAGATGTGGTGGAGAAGGGAAGGGTAGCTTCATGAAGACTTAGTGGTTAGGGGACAGGAAATGAACTGTCCTAAGGAGACTCGATCACGGAAGAGGATCAATCCAACTGTCCCTGCATAGAGGACTTGGCATCCTAAGAATATTTATCCTAAGTGTATTTCTAATAAGCGCTGATGTATACCTGCTGTCAGCATCTAGGGGAGATGTACGGGGAAGAGACGGAGGTGGCCTTACCCACGGAAGCACTTGCTAGAAAATGTGGTGGGCGGGAGCTGGCCAAGTTGGAATACCTGGGAACCGGTGTCCAGGGTCACAAAAATTCCACAGAGTATAGATTTGCACAGAGCATAAATTGGCCTTTATATCCGACCAACCATCACAGTTCTGGTTTAGGGAAACTCCAAAATAAAGCATAACGAGCTCAGGCCACAGAGGTCTCTAAACTACTGTACTGTTCCCCTGCCTGGTGCACGTGCTTCTCACAGGTACAACACTGCACTTGTGAAGCAGGTGGGCACCCAAAAGGGCCCCAGCACAGGCCAACCACTGGGTCTAGACAGGTCATGAAGTGGACCTGGGAACACAGGAGGGTGGCCCAAGGGCTCTAGCAGGTCATTGATGCCCTGCTGTGCTGAGCATCCTTGTCTCACATGGCAACTAGGCTTATCAGGTAAAGGCAGGCTCCAAAGCCAACAGGTGGAAGAGCTCCTCGGGAGCAGGTGGCCTCCAGGGTCTGTTGGTACTGTGGCTTTGGGGGGAAATGCTTGGCACAGTTGTGTTGGTTCTCAAAACAACGACATTCAAGTTGCAAACTCACCCATCTCACTTGCTACACACCCATTTTCTTGGAGTACTAAGGAAAAAAACAGTAAGTTCTCTGTCATCACGTGCCAGTTCTCAACCTCTAACCAGCTCAGGATGGCTGGTGGGCTCAGTTTACTTGGTGACTTGCTTCCTCCAGAGAGAATGGAGACCCGTCTGCCCTTTCCCACACATACCGCCTATGGCCTGTGGCTCCCTCTCCTATGGATAAATCTGGGAGGTTTTGAGCCCGTTGAATGTGGGGTCACGGTAAATGAGCGGCCCATGTGTATCCAAGGACTCGGGGTTGAGTATGACGACAATATGATATCCCTGAACGTTGCCTACAAGAACCAAGTATTGGGAGTTGGGTTCTTACCACTGAGCTGTTTTGGCAGGAGGGGCCTGGATTTACCATTTATTGTTCAGACAATGTACAATGCAGGAACCCAAGGACTATTTCTTGTCTTTCCTGAATAAACACAAAGTAAATAAAGACAACCAGTTGGAATCTACAGAACTCAGGCCACACGTCTACATGCTACCTACATGTGCCTCAGGCTCGGTCTCATTCTCACAGACCCAGAGAGGATGAATCTAGAACACACAGACCTTGTCTGAAGCAGTGTACACTCTTCCAGTCCCATATACCATGAGGTTCAGGGCAAAATGTGAATGAAGAGATCAGGAGAGAAATTTCTAATTTTGATGCAATATAGAAACAGGTGGTTTCGTGTCAGATGAAACATTGTAGACCAGAGAATCTGAACGTGCCTGTTATTGAAAGGTCTGGCAGCTCTGATTAGTTCATTGCTCTGTAGCCCCCAACCCCTCCCACCCCACCCCTCCGTGTCCCATCAGCATCTACACTGACTGGATGGGTAGCTAATTGCCATCTCTTGCTTGAACCAAAACAGGAACTCTATTTTAGCAGGTGATTCTGGTGGTTAGGCTCAAACTACACTCTTGGTCTGTAGTGGAAAAAGCTCAGCCCCAGATCTGACAGATTTCAGTTTGCCACAGGTATCAGCCACAGACTAGGGAAGGGTTTACACACCCATTTTCTATGACCCTCTCTTTTTGGACATTTTCCCCTCACTTCCCAGAAAGCCTGGTTACTCTGGGCTCTTCCCCTGGCTCTTCCAAGCAGAAGGAAGAGCTTCCTAACAAAGTTTTAGGCCACCAAGCAAGAGTGTGGCTGTTCTTAGAGGAAGAGGAAGTGGATTCACTACAGGCTGCTTCCTTTGAGTTTCGACTTCCCCCCAAAGTTTCGATTTCTCCCCAAAGCCTGCCTGCTTGTGTTCACCTTTCAGAAGCCTCAGGCAGCTGGTTTTTGAGTAGTGTCCAGAGTTTCTAGCTAGTTTGGAACTTTGGAGGGGGAATCCTAGCATGCTTCAAATCCTTGAGTCCCTAAAACTTACCTACATGTCATGTCTCTGAGTCTTGGTAAGGTTTACCTCTCACACCCACAGTACCTGTGATTTACCCAAGGCATTCAGAATACTCAATACTTCTTGCTCATCAGATCCATGACCACACTGTGATCCATACAGTGGGCCAATGTAATGTGTTGCAGCAGCCAGAGGAGCTCTACTGTTACAGAAAGCAGGAGAATTTCTTTGCCCTAGTACAAGTATACTGTTGTCTGACCCACGTAACTGTTGTGTCCTGATGACACATTCAGGAGCTGGGAAAATGACTGCCGGCTGGATTCAGTACACCCATTCTGAGATGGACATTACCTGACACCCATACACTCTAACAAGGGGGCCAGGATGACTCTGTGTCCCCAGATATTTGCATCAACTCCAACCCTGTGTTCAACAACTCTTGAAATATCTGTGTGTTTTTCTTTCCCTGACATGTGGTTATTTGAACAAATGGCCATAGATCCCTTTGGGGAAGAACTGAGGGAATCCTACTACTTACCCTCTCAAGGTTCTTTCTTCTGAAAACTTGCCCTCACTTTTATTGGAAATGAGCCTCATGAGAACTGGCTAAACTGAGGTAGCTATCTATCATCTTGTGCTCCTCTATTTCAAATCACTTTTGATGATGTATATGAAGTAGTATCCTCATTGGCTGAGGAACACAGTCACTTCCCGGATGAGTCTTTCCATTGTAGAGTAGGGTCACGCTAGCATGTCAATGTCCCTCGGCTTTTGTTCCCCAGAGCCTGCCACAGCAGTTTGGGCATCTCTACCTTCCACTTCATTTAATATGTACCACAGTTATTCTAAGCCTGAAATAGCCACCTGGGGCATACAAAATCACTACCATCATCCCCTGCCAGGTTGATTAAAGTCTGTGGCACAGAAGAGCTCTCCTGTATCAACAATTCCCCCTTATTTAGTTTTACATCTTACCTTTCTTGATCCAGGATCTACTACCAATCTCCTAGCTCCTGTTGGTAATGTTGGCCAACCTCCATCTCCTTTGAAATATAAACCCTCTTTCAACTTGCAGCCCCACCCATAGTTTGTCCAGTTGGGTCATGCAGAGAGGCCTCTGCATGCTTAAAGTCTTCATTTAAGCAAGATGGGAATGGGTGTAGTTCCCTCTTCCAACAAGAGGAAGGGGGATTCTTTTTCATGACCAGTGGTTCAGAGGGTATAGTCGTTCAAAATTCTCATGTGCATTTACCTTGATAGCCCCATTTTGAGTTTCAGGGCCTTGAATTTGGCATAGAGACCACCTGAGCTTGGAATCCAGTCCTTTTTGGAGTTCTGCCATTCTTAAAACCAGGACCTGAAACAGGCCTTCCTTCCTGTCTGCCTTCCAGATGCAAATATAAGGGCCTCTTGGCTTTAGGTTGGCGATTAATAGATCTAAACCTGATATTTATGCTTATCAATATATTAGCAGTAGCCACCAAACCCAACATTTCTTATAGTTACCTTTTCTCCCTTCTTAAATGCCAAATTGTATCAGCTAGTGTGCCTCTTTTCCTGTAGCTCATCTGGCTTTCTACAGTAGAAAGTCTGGCAACTGTCCTGTTAAAACATCCCAGGGACTACCAATATCCACCTATCACGGGGCTGGGGGTGTGGCTCAAGCAGTAGCGCGCTCGCCTGGCATGCGTGCGGCCCGGGTTCGATCCTCAGCACCAGATACAAAAAAACAAAGATGTTGTGTCCGCCGAAAACTAAAAAAGAATTATTAATAAATACTCTCTCTCTCTTAAAAAAAATGTTAAAAAAAAATATTCACCTATCACCATTTTGCGAGACAGTGATCCACCTCCAGGATCATGTTCTTAAGAGTTTGTTTTCTGGGACCACTACTTAGGGTGGGTCCCTGCTGTGGTTTGGATCTGGAATGTCCCGAAAAGTGCATGCTTTGAAGGCTTGGCCCACAATGAAGCAATGTTCAGAGGGAATCACTTTGGAGAAGTGACTGGATCGCGAGGGCTTTGATCTCATCAGAGGATCAGTCAGTCGGTAACTGAATGGACTGCTGAGAGTGGGGGCAATTGCAGGCAGCGGAGTGGAGTCTGTTGGAGGAAGCAGGTCCTGGGGGTATGGCTTAGAAGGCTATTCCTTGTTCCTGGCCCTGTTCTCTTTCCTCCTTCTCTCTCTGCTTCTGAGTTGCCACGAGCTGAGCAGCCTTCCTTGGCCGTGTTCTTCCATCATGATGTTCTGCCTCACCTCAGGCCTGGAGCAGTGGAGTCCGCTGCCCATAAACCTCTGAAACTGCAACCAAAAGAAATCTCTCCTCCTCTAAGTTGTTTTTCTCAGGCATTTGTCACAATGATCAAGAAAAAAAAAATTAACACAGTCCCCTAGAAGCAGAGTCTGAGATGAAGCATCTTAAGGTATTGGTTTATTGTGAAGGAGAAGAGGAGCAAGGGAAGCAACATAACAAAGCGAGAAAGGTGAGGTCAGCTGGAAACTAGTTTCAGCCTGGTTCCGTGGGATCAGTAGCCACGGTATCCCTGGTTCTACCTTAAGGCAAGGGAACCAGCTCTCAGGCTGGGAGGTGCCACCCCGGCTGAAGCTGGCTTTCTTTGGTACAGGGATGCTAGACTTAGTAAACGGTGTTCACTGCAGCAGAGGGTGGGGGATCTTGCCAGAAAAATAAATTGCACCAGAACACCAAGAGCAGTTACTGCACCAGTCAACTATTTTCATTTGTTTCCTGAATAGTGAACAGTCCCTTCAAATTCTTCTCGAATTCAGTCTCCAGTCTAATTCCCATTTGGCCACACTCACGGTACTGGAAAAAAATAATAAAGACAAAAACGAAAATCTCATTATCCGTGTTGTTAGACATCTGGCCATTGAGAATGATCAGGACACTTGTTAAACATTCTGAGGCACACTAACCAGTTCAAACTTGAAAACTCATATAGCTAGGAGCAACATCTGTGTTCTGCTAGCATAATTAGAAAGGAATGTGAAATCATTACCATGTGGGGGACCATTACTTTTTTGACTTTGGTTGTTTATTAGAGTTCAGTAAGAGTTAGAAAACTGATCTATGTTAATAGAAGTCATGTGTGAGGGGAGATCAATTATCTCTTCCTTCCTCATCACTTCTATTCCTCTATTGGGGAGTCCCTGTTAACTATATGGTCCTTGAACATATATAGGAGCCAGCCTTGAGTTTGGGATTTCTGAGAAGTTTTAAGGAAGCTTGGGGGAAGATAAGAAGCACAAACTGACTTGAATATAAATTCTCTTTCTGGGCTGGGGTTGTGGCTCAGTGATAGAGTGCACGCCTAGCACGTTCAGGACCATGGGTTCGATCCTCAGCACCACATAAAAATAATAAATTAAAATAAAGATATTCTGTTCAATTACAACTAAAAAATAAATATAAAAAATAAATAAATTCTCTTTCTGTGTGTATGGGAAAGGGAGGACTTGACTGTTCTCTCTGTGCTCTTGTCGGAGGGATGGCAAATGAGCGCTTGAGAGCATGGGGCTTTCTTTGGTTACAGGGACATCTTCTGATTCACTGTTAGCTAAGTCTTAAACTAAAAGAATCACTCATTTCCAGAGCCTTGCTTGTGCAGGCTTGTTAGAGGAAGACAAGGGAAACTAAACTTCCCAGGTGCCAGAAAATGAGGGGTAGAAGCAGCCAATGGGAGAAAACAGAAAGGGAAGCAAGAGTGCGTTCCTTACCTTGTATGAGGCCCTGTGGTTCTGAAAGATGAGGCGTATGTCCTGCACAAACCCCTTCACTTGGGAGTAACCCTGTTTATTCAGCCTTTTCTTGATTTTGTCTAACCACATAGGTTCCTTCAGACTTTGACAAGTCTCCCTCATCTGCTGACAAATACACCAAGTTACTTAAGTCTTAAACTGGAAGAATCTGTGAGAGCTACTAGCACAATTTAGTGTTTGACCTGCTATGGATTCTCATAAAATCCAATAGAGAGACAAACAATGTAAAGACAACGGGCTGCTGTCCCACTCCCAGGGACTGAGATCACAGATCCCATTTCAGAGTCCCCGCGTAGCCTGGTGGCCTGTGATCGAGGCTCTCTGCTGTTACTTACACGATAATAGCGTGGATTCTTGGCAAAAATGGAGCTCTCAGAACAGCAATAGACCTTCAAGAGGAGGAACTCACATTTCTACAAGAGAAGTAGGCTGTCAATGAAAAGCAGCTTGAAAAGAAGAAACCCATATGCTCACCCCACAGAAATGAGCATGACTCATGCCCCCCAGCTTCAGGAAGATTCTCCAAACATGTGTAATGGCCAAGTTATTCTTTCTGTAAACATGTTCTGGTGTGATATCAGCATAACAGAAGTGTGGATCGGAAGAGAAAGCTCCCTCTGAGATCCACTTCTCTGACCCCAGGCCTGTTGGTGTTTCTCACAAGAGAAGGGAAATGAGAAGGCTTGGGGATTCCACGGACTCACCAACTGTTCCTCGGGCTGCATCTGCCTCTCTAGGATCTCAGACTCCTGATGACTCTCTTGACTGTCTAAGGAGCCCATCCTGCAGAAAATGCAACTCCACGGGATCCTGAGAGATTGTGCATAAAGTGAGCAGAGAACACGGACCCTGGAAATAGCTACTGTTCCTATAGCTGCATGTCCTCCTTTAAGGAATAGCTGATACGCTAGTTAGAGAGCACACTCCCAGAGAGTGCAAGATCCCCACATGGGATCTTGAGCTGTCCACTCTGTTTCCATCTGTGGCAGAAACAGGATGTCAGTCCTTGGAAAGTAGTGTCATATTGACTATTAGGATCTCCTTTCCCCCACTGGGAATACAAGGAGCCCTGCCGACGAGGCTCAAGTATAAGAAACGGGGCTTTAACTCCTGGTGATCTTGGGTCCATCAGCCCATTAAAGCGTAATGAAAAGTGGGAACCAGTTGTGTTTATTTCTTTCCTGACTAAGCACAGAAGAAAAAAAAAAACCTGTCATTTCCCATTTCCAATCCATGGACATAAGTCCCTGCTGCAAAACTTTGAAGAAAGGACAATTATAGTATGTAGGCTAAGGACTCCAGTCACCAGTCTCTGCATCCCCAAAGAGGTATCGCTGGTGGCACAGAGAGTATTGATATTGCAGCATCTTTCAATAGCCCTCTGAATCATGCTGCTAGATCCTGGTCGCTAAGATCTCTGCTCACTCCCCATCGAGACCCAAGAGGAACACTGCAGGGCAAGTGTGCATGGCAGGGGGAAGGACTCCTAGCAGGAGAGAGAGAAGGAATCACATCTCACTCCTCAATCTTTGCTGGTGGAATGTGACAGTCCCTATGGAAGGCTCTGGAGCAAGTGTCACAGCAGAACAGCAGTCCCCTACGCCGACACACCTCACACACTTCCGAGTTTCCCATCTAGAAGAGAAAACAACAACCACGTCACTGGGATTGGCAAGACCCTGCGCAAAGCCACTGCTATGGGAACCCAGAACACAAGCCTCCGGGCAAACTTGCATGGACCCATTTGCTTCTCCCTGGAATAGTAAGTGCTTGGAGTGGAGAGTTCAGACAAGACATCTTCTGTTAAAGTTCAGGAAGAGGAGACCACGTGCCATATCAGAAAACATTTCCTCTCAAAACCAGAGATATAACACAGAAAGACCAACAGCAAAACAACTTGATGATTTTGAGGGAATCAGAATAATTTTATTACTAGCCTGCAGACAAAAGTTCCTAAAATAAATGTTGAATCCATTTGCTTATACAACATTGCTGAAATTGGCTCATCAAAGTGTGATTTACTAAAAGTTTATATATGAGGGAATAAACTTTTGAAATATCACTGCATCCCATAGCCTTGGCTGTAAGCTCCCCATGAGCTGAAGGAAAGGCCTGGGGAGGCTTTGGGCTGTGGGTTCTGACTATGGAAAGTAATCAAAGATGAAAAGGTGCTGACTAATAATCCTTTTTAGGTTTGTTTTGAGCTTTGGGATGAAAACACTTGTTAGGTGAATTGGGATCTTGGTCATTTATTTGATCTTAAAAATGGTCACATATGAGAAAATACTGGGCCCCTAAGGCTCCTGCTTGATGTCATGGGGGATTCTTATGCAGAACTGCAATTGGAGACTGAAACTGCTCAGACACGGAGCCTTGGACCCATTCTTCTCGTTAGTGCAGACTCATGGATTACCAGCATCACTGTCAAGAAATTGATGCCTCCTCTCCCCAAACAACAAGGAAATAATGGAGGCAACAAGTGTTTCAGAATCTTGCAATCATAATCCTTTTAACAAGATATTTGATTCCTTGACAGTCCATGGGAATCCTCAGTGGAGAGTACATAAACTACCAACGTCCTGGTCCCAACACCAGAGACCAAGTCATGTGGTCTGGGTTGGGGCACCAGCATTACTGTTCCTCTTTAAGTCATAGAACAAGTATTTCTGTGCAGCAGAATCATCTGAAGCCTTTGAACAAGTCCTAGTCCAAACTAGTTCAGAATCAGAATTTCCTCTGGGGGCGGGATCCAGGCAACAATGCTTTTTACATCTTTCCAGGTGATTCTGGTGTCAAATTTGAGATTCAGCCTGAGCCAAGTCTGGTTATTGAGGCCTGGAGATGTATATGTCAGGGTTGTTCGGCCTTAATATCTATCCCGGAAACATTAACAGGGGAGAGGATACCTTTGCTTGGGTATGACCTAATCCTTTGTCTACATCTATCCCCAACAAGCCACACAAATACTGGACTCCAGGGCTGTTTTGACTATTGAAGACGCCCTCTGTAGAACAAGGTAAAAACCAGTGTGAATAAGATCTAAATCTGGTTGGAGAATTGCTGTGGAGGTGTGTGTAAAACTACTTTGCTATGCCTCTTCTGCTGAGTGTCATGAATGGAAGACACTCTTTGCAAGTATTGACCCATAACTGAGGGAAACGCTAACATGGCCTAAAATCTGCATCTCATTGCCATGAAAGGAATCTAGATATGATTTAGCTCAAAGAGAGGAGTCATCCATGATTTCAGCAGACCCCAAAGCAGGAAGCCATATGGCAAACAGGGCCCATGGAATCAGAATGGTTTGTACATTATTAAGCACCAGCCAAACAGTTTGAATAAACTATGATTTGCTAAGTGGTGATGGTTTCAGTGTTAGCCAGCTCAGCCTCCTAATGGCTCCCTTGAGACTGGCTACAGTCTTTCTTTCCCTCCCTCCCTTCCTTCCTTCCTTCCTTCCTTCCTTTTCTTTTTGGTACTAGGGATTGAATCCAAGGGCACTTAACCACTAAGCCATCCCCAGCCCTGTTTTCTGTTTTATTTAGAGACAAGGTCTCACTGAGTTGCTTAGGGCATCACTAAGTTGCTGAGGCTGGCTTTGAACTCACAAACCTCCTGCCTCAACCTCCTGAGCCACTGGCACTACAGGTGGGCACCACTGTGCTGGGTGTTCTGTGTGCATTTCTATGCAGGACTAAGAACTATGTAAGACTAAGGATGTTAGTACTTACATCAGGTTCAACATTGTTGTGAGTCTGTGGTGCTGTCTGTTGAAAGAAAAATATTCAGTGGCTACGTTGCATGTGATGTTTGAATCTATCACTTATTTAAACAATCATGTTTCAAGGGATTCAAGTAACAGTTATTTTAAAAATAAATTAATTAGGAAGTCAGTGGGTTGCGTTGGCTTCAGGACTTTAAGTTTCCACAGCTTGAACTCGCCAGTTGGGCCCAGCCTGTCCCCTCAGGGTGGTGCTGAAGACCATCCTGAGCTCCGCCTGCATCTGGGTGGACGTCACATATTTTCCTTACCACCCTTTCCATCCCCACTGACTTCTTTAAAGTGCTGTTTTCCTCTCAAATTTGCTGTATACCCTCATCTTCAGGCCGTTCCTGACCATCCCTACTTCAATTCTGCCTCTAGATCTCTGCTTCCCATACCCACTTGGAGGGGGCACGAGGCACGGGAAGTTTTCCACTGAAATATAAGGAAAGGGTACTTTCAGTGGAGACACCCAGTCTCAGACCCATGTCCCTGTCTTGGGGGGACACACCTGATATTCTTTGTTCATTGCACACAGCAACATACTACAGTGAGTGAGTGCACTTCAGGGAAAAGCAGTCATGACACAGGAAATGTGCTTGGAAAAAGGTCTGTGGTCTGGGGATGCAGCTGGGAGTTAGTACTTACATCTGGGGCAACATTGTTGTGAGTCTGTGGTGTTGTCTGTTGAAAGAAAAATATTCGGTGACTACGTTGCATGAGATATTTGAGTCTATCACTTATTTAAACAATCATGGTTCAAGAGATTCAAGTAACAGTCATTTAAAAAATAAATTAATTAGGAAGTCAGTGGGTTAGGTTGGCTTAGGACTTTAAGTTTCCACATAAAAATGTAAACAGTAAGGAAAAACTAGTGACTTTAGCAATTAAAAAAAAAAACTACCAGCTAATCTTTAACCAGGGTCTTTCCATTCTAACCAATTAAACGTATCTTCTCTGTCTTACTTCCACCTTAGCCCATGAAAGTCGCCTGCTCACACTGGTGCATCGGAGCTCAGTGGTGTTCTTACCTGAGTGCTGCCCAACTCATGACCCCTTCATCGCTCAAATAAACTCATCAAATTTATTTTGTCTATAAAGATTTTTCTCTCAATACAATAGACCTTTTATTTCATACCTTTTTATGTTGACCTATGTATCTATCAGGAGAACAAGAAGTGCCAAAGAGCTCTGTGTGCCAATGCACATTCCCTTCCCCAGCTCTTCGATTCAAGGTGGGCCTTCGTGTTGCCAAGAAGGGACCCAGGACCTGGTTTCCACAGACTGAATTGGAGAAATTTTACCTGTCCTGTTGCTTCAAGGGGTTCCCAGCCATTTTCCTTCAACTTGGCTGCCCAGGATCTGCCAGCCCACCCACAGGAGCTGCAGTGAGAATCAGTCTGAGGACTTAGCAGTCACAGCCCTCAATAACCACAGGGCTATTCTGGAATATTCCTGGAATCCAAGGAAGCCCAGAGAACTCTCCTACTTTCTGAAGCTCTCCTAGGGATTATCCCTAAAGATAAAATATATTAAAAGTCCCCAGGACTGAAGTTCTTCTCCCTGAATGTCCCCCTCCTTGCTCCTCGATCCAAATCCCAAGAAGATGTCAGCTGGCTGACTTTTCAGAGAAAATTCTAGATTTGTTTACATTGCCTTTAAACATCCAGTACAACGAGCTGGCATTCTTCCCTTTGTAGATATGTGCAAACTCAACTCTTACCTCTATCCCAAGATGGAGAGACCATAGACAAGTGGGACCTCAGGGACAATACCCTCAGAGGTGGCCATGTCACTGCCCACCTTTGACCAGCTTATTATTATTCCATTTTTACAATGAATGGACACAATCCTTAAGGTCAGGAATACAGTTTCAATCTTCTCTAGTGACCACTGGACACTTAGGATGTGTTCATTAATTATGTGTCATGTACTGGAAAGTTTTCACCTGGTGCTAATGGTGACACTGAAGTTTTCAGGAGCCAAGTGGCTCTGAAAGCAAGGGACACTCCAAGAGGCCCTGAAGACCTATGGAAGTAGAAATGGATCCTGGGATCTGCCACTTTGGAGAGCATCTGCTCTCACCAACAAGGAGACACAATATATAGAGGCAACTGCAGCTTGTAGGCCCAGAATTGCACTCATGATAGGGAAGATTCTGTTGGTTGGAAATTTCCAGCTCATTCTCATAATGTGGTCTGAGTTACTCTTGACACCTTGGGAAAGTTAGAGCCACTTGTCTTTAAAGCACTCACCAAGTAGGCAAAAAGTAGTTTCCTTTTAGGAAACCCACTGGATGAAATATTCCAGGGGCTGAGAGTTCAAACCAGTGAGACCACTGATATTGCAAAGGCTGAGATCTCAAATTCTAACATGAAGTCCAGAGGTCAGTGATGTGACCTGTCTTAGAAGTCTGTGAATGTCTTGAGTGGCTCTTTCTACCTACAATATATAAGAAGGGCACTTCTCCCCTTCGCCTCCTCTTTCTCAGGTTATCATTCATACTCAGTGTTGGAAAAACTGTTGCCTTGCCCTGATTCTACACCACACTCAACCTATTTGTTTGTTGCCTTCTTTCATAGAAGGACAAACCGCTTCTCACAAATAAAAGTTTGCATGCACAATCCTTCTGATGGAGCAAAAGTGGTGGTGTCCAGTTCAGCACATCTTGTATAGATGTACCTACCTTCCAAGACCTCCCTCTCCAACAACACTGTCCTTATTTATGAAAAGCAAATAATTTTCCCTTGAGAAAGATTTCTATGTGCCTATGTATATATTTAGTTGGAAAGTGGAAGAGGATGTGAAGGACCAGAAAAGGAATATGCTTTTGGTTGTATTACTCATAAAATGATATGTAATTTCATATAGGTCCCATGAAAAACTATTAGTTCAAGCTCATCAAAATGACTGTGAGCAGAAGAAATAGCTCAGTTGGTAGCATGCTTGCCTCACATGCACAAGGCCCTGAGTTCAACCCCCAGCACTATAAAACAAAACTGACTATGAGCAAACTTTCGCTCCATCAAATTTTATTAAAACTAGAGAAACTCTTGGCTTGAGTTGAAGATGACTCTATCACATGATTATGAGATGTTTTTATGTATTCCACAATTATGTTTGCCTTTTCAACTTTGATGCCCTTAAAACAATTGCAGTATTGCTAACACACTTCCATGAGGTCTATTTTGATGGCTATCTATCATCTCCACTTCTCATGGATTAACAAAGAAGACCTAGCTTTATATACAGCATTGTACTCAAAAGTCACAACTCTGAAGGTGCATGTCCCCCCCATCCAAAATGAAAGAAAGAAAAAATAAAGGAAGGGGTGGAGGAGGTGTAAGATTAGTTATGATTACCCACTTGAGATGCCATAAATAAGACACTGTACAAGTAAAGTCATATGTGGTGAGAACTTGTAGAAAGTTATATAATGATCACCTTTTTTTTCCTGTGATATATTCTTGGAGGATGAGGTAGAAATCCTTCCTGCAAGATAAAAAGATTCAACTATATGGTTACTCTGGGTTTCTGTTTTGTGAGCCTGCATAGCCAACCTCCTCCCAAATATTTCTGCCTGCATGCTCCACTGCCAGTTGAGATTCAAGGTGTCTGAATGAGAATCTTTCTTTTCTCACTTGCCTCTTCCAGATTTCAACAAATGGTAGTTGGAAAGTCACCTGTAGAACCTTCTCCCTTTCTCTTGTCCTCTTTTCTAAGTCTCTGAGAGGCTTTCCTCAGACAGCCTTTACCTATTTCCATTCCCACAGGACGCTCAAGTTTGAATTCCTACACTAGGACTCTCCAGGCAACACACAATTATTGCCCAATATCTATTGGAACCTCTAATAGATATTGGGCATGCAAAGAAGACACATGTATAACTCTGGAGAGGTCTAGAGAAGAAAAACAAACTCAAGGAAGTACAAATCTAAAATAACTGGAGAGGAATCTTAGTGGTGGGCTCAGAGAGCCCTGGGAAGGGATGATGAGGGGCTGGGACATTTAGGGAGGGGTGACACATTTTAACTGAGCATTCTGTGTTTGATATAGATTGCTGAGTGCAGAGACAGGGAAGCTGTTTCAAAGCGACATGGCTATCTAACACACTGTTTTAGGGGACTGAGGTGTAGCCCAAAGGTAGAGTGCATGCTTAGCATGCTCGAGGCCCTGGGCTCAACCCCAGCACCCAAAATAAGACAAAACTGTTTTAAATGTTATTTCCAACAACAAAGATTTTGCCGATTCTATGTTGACTAAATTATGAATTAGAACCAATTAGCATAGTATTAGAACCCTCCACAAATGATCCCCAAAATATGTCTTATTGCATACAACTCATCAATCTAAATCCACAGTGCTATTTCAGTAATGTCTTTCTCTGGAGTGTCTTCTTGCATTGTTTGACTGTAGGCTTTTTTTTTTTTTAAACGCAGAAAGTTTCTGCATTTACTCTAATTGGAATGGCCACCCCCCTCTAAGGTTCTGCATCTACCCTTTGCAACGTTCATGTGCTGTACTGTCCTGGAGTTACAAATGTGGGACCCCTGGCTTTGAGTCAAAGGAAAAGTGCAGAGGCATCAGGGCTGTATCTATAACTCACAAACATTTGATGATGAAATAGTGACCTAATTATTAAGATGCAACAAGAGGGGTACATCTCTTGCCCTTTGTGAACAGAATACCTGCAGCAGCCATAGCAGGGGCCGCCCGCCACAGTACACACTCTGTTTCCAGTACTTCGATCTTGCGTAGCCTCCTTTGATTTCAAATTCACGGGGCGTGAGCCAGTCTCCAGTCTCACTCTGTATACACTTTATGGAGATTCCTGTAAGACCAGAGAAAGTTGATCCCTATTTATGTTTGTCCCCAAAGCTTAGACTACAGCCTCCCACCATCCAAATTGGGCTCATGGTCAATAGCAGAAGTCCCACCTCTCAGATTTCAGGGGACCCAAATCCAGCCTGAAAGTTCCCTGAAAGGAGATTTCTGGCAGGGTGTGTACATTTCTTTGATCTTCGCATGAAGACAGTAACAATTACCATGAAAAGCAAGCTTTTAAAAATATCTAGGAATCACCTACAAGAGGAAAAGCAAGCAATTCCTAAGAATGAGAGGATTTCAATTTGTTGTCGGGTTCTAGAGATAGAGAACATTGATTTGTATGCTCTAAATAGTGAACTGAATTCTATGTGAATGATATTGCAGTAAAGCTGTTTTAAAAATTAACATCCAAAGACCCATATTAAGAGAGGTCTGAGCAGTGTAACTCCACATCATATACAATCGCAAGGATGGAGGTTATACTCCGTGTGGTAGGATTCGTCAAAATACGTTCTTCTGTCATGTATAACTAAAAAGGACAAATTTTAAAAAATTTTAAAAGGAGAGGTCTGAGATGAAGTCCATCATCATGAACTATTTTTGAAAGGCCTTAGAAACTATGGTCATAAAATATGTTGTGTCGATTCTACTCATTAATTCTTACAGCAATACTAGGATGCAGGTTTTTAAAATCATTTTCCCCTTTTGTAGATAAAAAATTTCAGGCTCAGCAAGACCTCCTTCTCTCATGAGAATGAAACAGGGGCTGTGGATATAGCTCAGTTGGTAGAGTGCTTCAGCCTTGCATGCACAAGGCCCTGGGTTCGATCCCCAGAGCCGCTGAAACAGGAACTCAGGTTTCCTGATCCAAACCTAAATCCTGTAATCTCACCAGGTTAAGCATCCCGCCCTGTGATGAAGATCCAGCAGGGGAGAGGGTATAAAGGTAGAAGCTGAGGTCTATCTCTAGCTATAAGTAAGATATTTTATTTCCCACCTCTGGATGGGATTTCCTGCACTTATCTTTGGTTCTTTGGGTATTACTATGGACAAGCCCACGTGAGAGCATCTAATATCTGTGATTTCTCGGTGTAAAAGTATCATCTTAAGAATTCCTTCCTCCTTCTCTCAAGTCAAACTAGAGACTCAGCTCCTTGAATGTTGAGTGATTCACATGACTGATTCCCTTCCTTCCTGGGAATCCTTCAGATAGTAGTCACAAATTAAAGAAGACAGTGAAACCCACCTTTTTTCAATTTCTCCTTATATAAAATTCCTTTCATCTCACCACAGCTCACAGGAAGTAATGGAGCACAAAAATCCACAGGTTCATTTCTGACCTTTCTTGAACCTGCAAGAGAAGGGTCTTCATCCCAGTTCACTTTCCAATTGCACATGCCCCCCTCCTCCCTTATTGAGGTCATTCCTGTAACGGCAGGAGGTACTTAAGGAAATTCAGCCCCACAAATCTCAAGAGTTAACATCTTTTTCCAAGTGGTATTTTGGATAGATAATAATGAAATGTCTCCCTTGATTTCACACAAACTGAAATGCTTTAGCAGAGAAACCAGGCTTCAATAAAACTGTTTCGATTCTCAATCTAGTGAGCTCCACCGATTCTTACATGAGCATAAAATACACAGTTACTGTCACTGTTCTGGTGAGGTCTCCAGCATTGCAGTTTTGCCACAGGTGGGAGCCAGAGACAGAGCCAGGGATGGTCGTCCCACTTCCCCATCTGAGCACCGACCAGGCAAGCAGAGGGAGGAGGAGGATGGAGATGGTGTCTGCTTCCTATTGTTCTCTGCTTTACTTATACTTCATTTTCCCCTTTCTCTATAGGTTAGGATGGAGCTCAGGGAGTTCTAGAATGATTTGAAAATTATAGAGGGGAGGGAAATGGAGACCTGATTCCACAGAAGTGGGGAAGAAAAGTCTTGAAACAAATTCCGGGAGGATGAAGAGCTAATCTAGCTTCTGACCAATGTGGCGGAGGCATGATGGAGGGAGGGAGCGGTGTTTGGTCCTAAGACTGAATCTGGGACAGGTAGATGTCCAATCAGGACTGAAAGGTTCTGTGAAGGATGGCTGGCCCAATTTCCCCTTTCAATTAACAGAGGAGAAAACTGAGGCAAAAGACGTCAAGTGTTATACCCAAGTGCTCACAGTCAAAGGACAAGAAAACCCTAGGACAAGTCCTCTGACCACCATGTTGGCCACCTTGGTGTGCAGTCACAGACTGTTCCCTTGATATGGCCTAACTATTTGCACCCTTGAACGTTATCTGTTCAATGAAGGCAGCACTGCAGTAGCCCTGGGCCCCTGGAGTCTGGTTTCAGACATGGCATAGAGTTGCTCATTTTTCTCCCAAATACATTGACTAAATGGGACACATTTCTCAGTAGTTACCATTGCTACATGAAGTCATGAAGCAACTGGGGAAACAGGTTTATTTAAAAAAAAAAAAAGAAAAGAAAAAAAAGCAGAGTAAAGACCTGGAAATCAGATATTTAGCCATTGAAAATATATTGTATTCTTCTCCTTCTTTACCTCTTGATCTTTGCCATGCGCCTCTAGCTTTCTGAGTTAGGTGGATTCTAGATCTGCCTCTCTTTCTCTCTGAGAAAACAGAAAAATATAACCACCACACTGAATATGTTGGCACTTTTTAAAAACTGCACTTAAATGTAGCTTCCCCAAAACCAAGAATTAAATGGCTAATCTTAGGCTCATCTTATGTTTCATTTTCATATCCCTACATCAATAAAAAACTAATTGAAATCAGTATTTCACTTGTATCTCAGGAAGCAGTGTGTTGAGCCTTAGTACATAACATTTATTCTACTATTTAATATTTTTATTCTACTAATTTGTTTAATTTTTGCAATAAATAAAGGTGATGATGATAAAGGTGAGATAAAGGTGATGATGATTAGAGAGAATATTAGAAAATATTCAAGAAAATTGAGACGAAACTAAAAGTTTAAGTGAAGACATTGTAAGTTTCTCTTAGTGGAGAGAAAAGAACAAATCCAGTTCAGTGAGTACAGGAAAATCTTTTGAGGTGTTCCAGGTGAGATACTTGCTTGTATATCAACTTGAATGAAGGTATCTGCACATTTGTTCTGAAAGTGACCATAAAGGGAACCAAAGGCTTTGTTCACTGGGGTTTGGACAGAGATATTTGGATCTGAGAAACTAACCAGGAGAAGACTAGCCAAGAAAATTGAGTCTTCTGAAAATTGTTTCAAATAGTAATTATAGCCTGACTTGGAAAGTGCTTCAGAAAGAATATACTTCCATTTACAAGTTAACTGGCTGTGGATGGGAATCTCAATATTTTCCATCACTCAAATTGTGTTTTATCTGCTAAAGAAGCAATACAATTTTTTTTCTCCTTTCTTATATCCAAAGTTTACCACTCACGGACCACCATCTAGTGGTGCTAGTTGAAGTTATGCAGACCCCATGAGAAAAAACTCTCCTGACTATGCAGTCTTAAGTGCTGTCAACTCTCCCATGTTAGGCTGCAAAATTAAAAGGACCTTCATTTTATTCAAACCCAAAGTGTTCCTGGTACTTGGTAATATAATTCCACTTTCTGTTCTTCAGACTGAACAATTACTGTTATTTAAATCCATAATGGTCTGTGGGACAAATATTGGTAATTGGGCAACCTTATCCCAAGACCAAACAACTTTCATCCTTACAAACTATAACTCCATTAATATTTAAGCAAAATACTGGGAGCTCAAACAAGAGTTCTAGGAGAGTTGGAAAAACTCATGGAAGAAAGTAGGGTATCAGCAGCCGAGGGCTAAGGAAAACTAATAAAATGATGGAAATGTAATCCTCAGGGAGAATATTATCTGCTTGCTCTCTCTTGCTTCCTCTCTCTGGCCAGCACATTCACCAGTCTCTCCCAGGGGCTCTCCTCTCCCCTCTCACCCAAGACACCAGTAGGACTCTGGATAGCAAGGACATCTCTGGGTGTTCCTTCTACCCCCTCCTCCTCTGAGGGTCCACACTCAGAGCCCAATGAGAAGAGATTCAGATGTCTTATTCTTGCTTCTCTTTCTCCTCCTATATTCCAGCTAGGCTTGACATTACAGCTCTGACCACACCCTCAGACAGTCTGACAAAGACAGAGCTCATTCTTGCTTTCTATCTATCTCTGTCTGGTTACATCTTTTCTGAGACCAGTAGCCATATTGTGTTTACCTTCATCAAACCTGTTTACGCCTAATACTTGTAGGAGAGAAAAAGCAAACATATTGAAGTCTACTCTAGCCCTTGGATCCTTTGGTATAAGGAGATTTGAAGCTTACATCCAGCTAGCCCATAATATGGCACTATTGTGTTTTCTCTCAAAACAGAGTGGCTGAGCTAGGCAAGATTCAACTTATTGTGCTCTTAGGTTAAAATACCCATTTAATAATACTAAAATCTCATCACAAATTCTCTTAAATACAATATGGTCAGAATATAATTTTAAATTTTCATAAAATGATTGTTATGGATGGTATTGATTAAACTCTAGAATTAAGTGTGACACAGTTGTCAATTTCTTCCTTTTTTTCTCAAAACTTTAGTAGACATCCCAATAGTTGGGAACAATTCAATAAGTGCCAAGTAGGGTGACCCACTGTCCTTATCTGCCCAGGACTAAGAAAATGCCCAGGACACAGGAGTTTCAGGGGAAAAACTGGAAAATCCAGGCGGGTGAGTTGGTCACTCTAGTTCCAAGCACCCATATCCCAAGAAAGTGCACCAGGTCATCTGCACAGTGTTGGCAGAACTGGTTGTGCCAAGTCACGTCCAGGTGGCAGAAGAAAGGCTGCATTTCTTTTGAAAGAAGTCAATTGTGGTGCCTGATGCCTCCCGGTCCCTCAAAGGGGAGCTGATGAAAGCATCTTCACTCCATTTCCAATGCCATTCCATGGCTGTGCGTGTCAAGCAAAACCCTTCCTCACTCATCTCTCCTGTCCTCCTGCTCCCCAATCCTGGATGGGCCCAAGCCAGCAGCTATTGAATAGGGGTAGAGTTTAGAGAGAACAAGAGAAGATGGCGACCACGCCACCCCTGCTTTACAATCAAAGAGGAAGAAAGGTTAGGCGGTGGGCAGATGAGAATATAAACACAAACAGTGTGCAACTCTGGTTCCAAGCGAGTTTGCTTTTGAGATTTCACTGCTCTCAAATCAACTAAGAAATTTGACTAGTAAAAAATGAAGGATTTAGATTCCTCGAAACTGTAGCAAAATCTGTACTGACCTGCAATGCGGAGGTAAGGTGCTACCACTTTCGTCCTACCCCTGATCCTGGCAGGGCCTGGCAGATTCATTGTCACTGCCTCTTTGCTGGAGGCCTTGTGGTCATTAGCTGTGCTGTTGCCTGTGGACAGACATGGGAAAGGGAGAGTTGGGCAGAACCACAGGTGACAGGGGGAACAAAAAGAAGCGAGGGTGTCCTGGGTTTGCTTTGGACCCTTTACTCCACACGCTCAGACAAGCAAGTGAATGCCAAGCAAAGTCCAGCAGGGGTCCAGGGCGTTTTCTCCCTTAGGAGGGTCCACTGTTAAATGACACGCAAGATTTGTTTTTTGTTTTTTTTTTCTTTAATTTTTGGTACAAGGGATTGAACTCAGGGGCGCTCGACCACTGAGCCACACCCCATCCCTATTTTGTATTTTATTTAGAGACAGGTCTCACTGAGTTGCTTAGCACCTCACTTTTGCTGACACTGGCTTTGAACTCATGATCCTCCTGCCTCCGCCTCCTGAGCTGCTGGGATTATAGGCATGCGCCACTGCACCTGGCAATGTGCAAGATCTAATCATGCTTTGGAAAGAAGTCTCCTAGAATTTGTCTACATGCACATAGACTTAAGTGAAATGTTATAATGGCTTAGTCCAAATAATTTATCATTTTGAAAATACCCATTTATAAAATGGATGCAACCATTTTTTTCTTTTCAAACAAAAATGTACACATCCACCTATAGGGGAGCCATATAATTGTCAAAAACATAAGATATATATAGTTTGGTGAAAATTTTAATCCTTAATAGGATTTTTAAAATCTACTATTTCAAAATTGACAGTCATTCGGAAAACAAGGGTTAGCCTTCATCGTCTAGGAGAAAGGAATTCCTTAGACCTTTTATAAAATAAGATCTGGGGGCTGGATATTGTGGCTCATGTCTGAAATACCAGAAACTTGGAGGCTGTAAGTTTAAGGCCAGTCTCAACAACTTAATGAGACCCTCAAGCAACTTAGTGAGAACTTGTCTCAAAAAAAAAAAGTAAAAAGGGCTCAGTAGTAAAGAAGCACCCCTGCATTCAATCCGCTATAACAAAAAACAATCCAACAAACAAAAAAACCTTCAAAATAATAAGATTGTAGGGAACTGATTATAAATAATATATACATTAAAGAAATTTAGAAAATAAAATTGTATGAAACATTACTATGTAGAGATAGTCACAACTAACTTGTTCAAAAATATTCTCTTTGCATGTATTACTTTTTAAAATTTTTAAAAATATTTATTTTTTAGTTGTAGTTGGACACAATACCTTTATTTTGTTTATTTATTTTTATGTGTTACTGAGGATCAAACCCAGGGCCTCACTCATGCTAGGCGAGCACTCTATTGCTGAGCCACTACTTTTTAAATAACGTTTTTGCATTACAAAAGCTGAACATGTTAAATATTTTAATATATACACATACATTTTAAAACTAGAAATAAAAATATAAATACCTTTATTCCATTGACCAAGTGTAACCAATGCATATAGTTTTATGGTTGAACTACCACTGATTTTTCTATATGTCCACATCTATGTCCCTATATACAGATAAATATATATGTACAGATCTGAATTTATAGACATTTAAATACATACTTTCATAAATATATATGTTTACATACATGTATTTTTTATAATGCCCATACATGCCCACATGCATATGCATACATAGACAACCTGCTTTGTTCATTTACGCTTCTTTGGGACATCTTTCCAAGTAATAAGAATTTCTCAAACTAGGAAATAAAGCCACATACTGAGAATGGCAACACCTCCCTATATTAACTGTGGATCATTTACTGCTGGATGAGTCAGTAACATGTATGAGAAATAAACCATTTTGTAAAAGCCATTGTATTTGGGGACCTCTTTGTTACAGCATCTTAGCCTACCCAATACAGTAGCTATGAAACCACTATGGCCCTCGGGAGGTTGCCCGCCTCCAAGCATACAATGAGCAGTGCCTTAATAAACTCGTAGGATGCCCCTACTTCACTTTGCCTGCTTACCTTTTTGAAGTATGTTTTGTGGCCTTTTCCTTCTTATTCTTGACCAGTTATGTCCTTTCTTTTTTCCTTCAAAAAATAATGAAGTGAATCATTCAGGGCTATAAATCGAAGTCTCCAAGCCTTATAGGTCAGTAGTATTCAAGAACTGTTTGCAATGGGGAAAAACTGTCAACACCCAATATAGCAAAGTGGAAGTTGATTAGAGAGTAAAATTTTAATCCTGCCTTTGCATTGGCTCCCAAGCTTGGGAGACTGTCAGAGACCACATTTCTTTGAAAATTCAAAGAGGAGGAAATAAACTCCTGCCTTCTAACTAGATGACAACTGTCACTGTTATTTATTAGTGTTTCCTTTTTAAGCATTTTTCATGTAAATTCAAATGTGCAAGGAGGAGGCACATTTCTTGAGTCTGACAATGTGATGGGTAGTAGACTGTCCTGGAAGTTGGGGTAAGTTCTCAACTGGGATGTGGAGAGTCTTTGTTAAATAATCTCTATGCTCTTGCAGTTGCAATGCAAATCCTCTCACATATTTAATCGAGCTCCCAAAGAGCCTGGAGCACTTTAAGGAACCACAGTGGGTTCTTTGTTTTGCTGTTGCGGCTTTCCTTTGAATGATTTGAATGCACAGGAATGAATGCGTAAGACCACAGGCACTGAGCGAATGGAGACTGTATAGAATTATTGGCAACTATAGTGACAGCCACCTTCTAGAGTTTCATTTGCTAGAAGTGAAAGCATGACTGGAGGAGAGAGGCCTTGACTGCCCCACCTGAGAAGCCCATTTTGGGTGGGTCAACTCAGGCTCCAGAACTGACAAGGAAGGTTGGTTCAAAAACACCTTGCTCTTCAACTGGAAACGGTATTGTCAAGAACACAGGGACTTTGCCTAGTGGCACCTCCGCTTCAAGCCTGAAGCAAGCCTCTGGGTTGGTGGGGGCCTCGGCTCATTGAGATTCCCCTGAGGCCTGGGCCTGGTTCACTCATGCTTGGCGAGGCTGGGCTGCTATGGCTGTTCAGCCTCAGAGACAGCTATGCAGAGCCAAGAGTGGACGTGGTCACTCCTCCTGGTTGGCAGAACTTAGACAATTGGGTTTTGCTTCAATGGCTTACATATTTGGTCTACCACATGGGAAACCATAGGAGTGGCAGATTAAGGGCACACTTCTCTGGGGCCATGAACTGTGGAAACAGTCTCTGGTTGCCGAAAGGCCTGGTGGGTGGGTCTCTCATGGAAGTGCCAAGTAGCGCCTGGTCTCTGCTGTTGGCAGCTGATGCTGTTTCTCACATGGAGGCTCCTGCTGCCTACTAGCTTTGCGACTCCTGCTGAATTGTCCCTCTAGGGGGAAACCAAGGTGCTTTGATTGCTCCTGGTACATAGATCAGACCTTCGAGCCCCTCTTAGGGCTGTTGGCAGTACCTCAACACCCACCCCTCAGGTTGCAGGTCAGCTGACTTGGGCCACGCCCTTGCAACCATGGAAACTCACCAGCGTCATGCCTGGTGATGAGGACCATCTGCAGCCTGATAGGGACATGCCCTTTACCAAACAGGTATGCAACAGTGTGCTCACTGCCTGACTCTGCGTCCCTCCTCTCCTCCTGTCCACATACCTTGCAGGGCAGTTTGCTCTCGAAAGGTAGCAGTGCAGAGAGGGACCACTGCCTTCCTGGATAATGACCAGGACAAAAGTGAGGGATGGAGTCCTTATAGGTGATATACGAGCCTCTCTTGAAAATTTAGGCCTCTGTTCTGACCATTGCTCATTCTTTCCTCCATAACTTAGTGTATACAGCTTTCAGAGTGCCCAGGGGAGTCTGGTTTAATTCCAGTTACATTGTCTAAAAATGTTTTTGCCCTGCTTGTATCAGACCCTTGTGGATGGAAGGTCTTGGTGAGAAAAGGAGATGATTAGAAAAAAAGATGAAGCTACAGCCACTGGAATGGCACATACAGCTTGTGCGGCAGCAAAGTGAGAGCAAGACTCCAAGCATCAGAGAAGGAACGTCTCAATCCCTAGAAGGTAGGCAGGAAAGAGGAGCACTGATAATGTCTGCCTTTCAGAGCTGCCACTAGGTCCCTTGTCCATAGGAAAACACCCTGGTGCGGCTCTCTCACCACTGGGGATGCAGAGATGAATGCCACCTATTGCCATCGTGGACGAAGGGTGGATTGGACACACTGTCCTCAGTCAGTATCCTCCCAAGTCAATGAGCTGAACAGGAAACCGAGGCTTACAGCTGTCCAGAGGCCATGCTAGAGGCACTGTCCACCTCCCCTCTGCCTAACATGGAGGAGGAGCTCAGTACTTGCAAACACTTCTTTTCCAGGGGACCATGTGTGCCCTGGGCCTTGGACTTCTTGTGTGAAAGCCAGGCTATTAACCTGCCCCCTCGTGCCAACAGGGCCACTTGTACTTTAGAGGTGGTTGTCAGAGACCTAAAGCAGTTGTGGTTTATGACATTTATTAAATACTGTGGGAAACAAATCCAATTTGCTCTGAGTCGCCTTTTAAGGCTGGGAGTTTCCTATGCATTGTGTCCCTCAGCTGCCACAACCCTGGGTGTACGTCACCTGCTCAGGCCTCCTCTATAGCATGACCTTCACGGATCTGGGACGCACACCCAGGGGGAGAGCTGATACATCTATCCTGCGGCAGAGCATTTCACGCCTATGTATTTATGCAAGAGGTAGGAAAGCGCCTGGCCCCAGACAGACTTCTACAGGACATTCATGGAGGCTTTCTCATTATAGCTCAAACTGGAGACTTGGAGGCATCCGAAGATTGGAGACTGTATAGACAATGGTGAATCTAGACAATGCACACCACTCAGCAATAAAAAGAAACTACTGCCACACTCACAATGTGGATGAACCTCAAAAGCTTTATGCAGAGTGAAGGGATGCTTATGCGAATGAGAACATGCTGTGAACCTTAATTATATAAAAAGTTTTAAAACAACCCAAATTAAGTTATCATGAAAAAAAAATAAATAAAGAGTAGCAGTTGCTCTCTAGGCATGGGGCAGAAAGGGCACAGGTAATCTCCCCAGGGTGATGTCATTTTCTGCATCTTGAGGATTTCGATTGTACAGAATGATACAATTACCAGGATGCATCAGATGGTAAACTTGATAATTATGTTTTATTATAAATTGTTTAAAAAGGATTGCAAAAAATATTTGAACTCCAGGTAATGATATGTGTGTTGAAGTGTGTGCAGGGAGGTGTACTGATTTCTGCAACTTTGAGGAGTTAACAAATGGACAGAGAAACGGATGGATAGAAATGTGGTAAAGCCATAATGCAGGAATAATACAATAGCATCTGTGAATGCACGTGAATGGACATTCGTGTTCACCGAAATATTCTCCCAGGTTCTCTGGATGTTTAAAAATTTCATGATTCAATGTTCATGGAAAATGTATTTGGAGAGAAAGAACAAATTACTTGCCAAAAATGAATAGTTACAATAAAAAGTACTTTCATCAGGCACACACTGAGTCCTGAAGGCGATGTGGTGATCACTTTACTGCACTGAGAAATACATGTCAACATCAAATTGTCAACTTAGATTTTAAAAACCTATAAAAATAAAGATAATTTGCACATACAGGATTTGGAAAAAACTTACTACTTAGAGATCACTTGCTAAAATACCTGAAGGATTTACTTCAGCTAGATAAAGAGTGGAGCCAAAGAAAAAAATAATTATTGAGTACACAAAATAATTTTAAAAATTTGATCTAAGTAAATATCAACCACAAAAGAATGTTTCCAAATTCATAAATAAAAGACAAAATATTAAATAACAACAGTTAAGTGGTAGAGGTAGAATGTTCAATTTCTAGTGAAACCACGGTAAGATATTTGCCATCTTCTAGGATTGGCACATGGTTGAAAAATTACAGAAATGTTATCTCTAATTTCCAAATAGCAGGGGGCTGGGGGGAGGGGAGGGGAAGGAATATATAATTTTTTTATCCATCTGTCAGAAAACAGGAAACACACACACACACACACACACACACAGAGAAAGAATGGTCAGCAAGAGTATAGAGGGCATGGATCCATATGAATCAGGAATCAAAATAAGTGTAAACAAAAGAAACTTTATTAAAAGTCTATGATGATCATATACAATTACAAGAGCTGAGTGTTGTTATAAGGGACACAAAACAAAGCTGCACTTGAGAGGTTAACACAAAGGGAGTAAGAAGCACAAAAAACCCCAAAAGTTTGTGGAACAATTGTCAGCACTCCACAAAAGAGATGTTAAGCATCAGTTAAGATAACATGGCACATGGTTAATTGCAAAAGAAAAAAAATTCACTTAAAAGTTATAATGTCATGAAAAGCCTCAAAGTACTTAAAGTAAACCAACAGAATAAGCAGGAGTTGGAAAACACACAAACCTCGTGGGCAAATTTAACATATCTATATGAATCTAGTGGAAGAAATAGAACCTAACTTACCATGGAAAAAGATTTAAACAAGATGGCACTTGAAGAGGAGAGGCATATGAAGAAAAGCCACAGCTCAACATACAGCTCAGTTGGGTATTATTTTCAAGTGGCATAGAACATTTGTAAGTATTGACCACACATTAGAATGCAAAGGAACATTCAACAATCTTAAAGAATCCATGATCAAGTCTTTATATTGGCTTTCAGATATCCATTTCCCATTCCTAATTAACTGACAGAACCCCTTCAGTATTGGAAAGATAGATGTTTCCAGAGAAGACTCCACAGCTCGTAGCCTCTCTTGCAGATGGTGTGGCTACCAGCTTAAATCTGGCCATAAGACCATAGCAAAATATCACTGTGGAAGGAGGGAAAACTTGGGGACACTTCTGAAAAAAGGAATAAATCTCTGAGGAAGATGGTTTTTGCTCTCCGTCCTCTCCTCTCCATCTAGTGGCTAGAATATGTATTATAGCTGAAGCTCAGCAGGCACCTTCGACAAGGATGTGATCTCAAGAGGGCTAAACTGAAAGATAGAAGAAGCTTCAAAATGCACAGGGCTGAAAATACCCAAATGATTTTGAAAAAAAAAAAATCAGAG